AAGCTTTGCCTTCTTCAGCATGCTTGGGCATGGCAGTGCTCTCTGGCGAGGGAGGCTTGCGTGCAGCTTCCACCAGATTCACCTCCCACCCATTTAGATAGATGGATAACTCTTGAGTACAACTACAGATGGATGATTTGTACTGGAGAAAATAGAAGCCAACTCTGGCCCCTTGTGACCCTGCTGAATTTGTCATGATCTTCTCTCCTGAGAGAAATCAGTAGGAATTCACTAATAGTTGTCACTGATGTGACATAAGCGAGGGCAGACTCGGTCCAAACAAGTGGCAATGAGGACTCGCTCCCTCTTACCTTGGTACTTGTTGAGGAGTGCAAATAGAGATGCCGATGGTTGTGTTAGGAGCATCTCAGCTGAATGCCTCGGAACAAGGCTGCTTTGTCCACAAACACCCAATGCTATAATTGTGCTGGAAGCCATATAAAACGGATGCAAATGCTTCTCTTTTAACCCTACCTCTGCCACTGGTGTTTTCATGGCCTGGACAAACGAAAGCGCATGCTGCGCAGGAGGGGATCTTTGCCTCAGTTCCATCTGCAGCCAGATAATCTATACAGAGAAGGTGTCTTTGGACTGAGACCGACTACTCTGCAATGTTGCTGTTTCTATGGAAACTTATTTTTATTCAACAAGAGGAGCTTAAAATCTGTAGGGCTGGATTTGGTCCTAAGGCAGAAAGCATGCAGCATTTTTAGGTGCTCTTTGGTGGAGTTCATTGCTGGCTGTTGAACAGATTCTCTCAACTTTGGGGTCAAAATAACCTTTAATGCCTTTTTCCCCAGCGCTTTTTCCTCTTCATCCCACCCCAGCACCTCTACGTTTTGGCCTCCCCTGAATTGCCCTGATGCAACTGAAGGGCTGTTTGTTCACGTTGTGTCTCACCAGGGGAAATTTTGCCTCCCTGCAGGGAGGGTGTCTTTGGGGAAAATTGCTCCATGTTTAGCAAAGGAAGCCGAAGAATTGCAAACAATACTGATTCATCAGCAAATAATGCAGAGTACTGTATTTTGGGAGGATTTTTTTTTCTGCTCAATTAAAAAATAAATGCCAGATTCCTGTAGAGGCAGTTTAACCACTGCTATTGCAGTGTTTGTGACTGGTTACCACACATGAGCTTTGTGATTAAAATTAGGCTATTAGAAGCAGCCGGTTTCTTGGGGAATTACAGAAAACACTGAGGGAAGCGATTACTTTCAAAATAAAAACTGAATCAAATAATATGTTTCCAGTTACACCAGATGGGGCTTGCTTTTTCTGCATCTTTTGGTAGGGTAAACCAGGAGATGTGATTGAAGGCAATAGAATTTAATACTTTTACAGCTGGTGAGAATTAAAGGAGACTCAGGTCAGCCATCTATTAATTGTTCGCTCTTCCTAGTCAGCCTCTTGCTTTGCAACTTTTCAGCACTGAGACTTAATCCTGAATTTTGCACAATATCTTAGTCTCGCAATTAACGTGGACCACAAGGGCTCTGAATTTTAGAGTATTTGAAGATCGGTTTAAATAAGTTTTCTTTTTGAACTATGAATTATGCAAGTTGCTGGTCCAGAATAAGACATCTTCAGTGTTGTGTCTTGAGCAGGATGGGCTACAAATAATCATTTCACAGGTCGGAAGGAGATGCTCTTGCTTGGATAGTGGGCACAGCAAGCGGAACCAGCTCGTTGTGCAGCTTCCCAAAATGTCATGTTCAAAAGTAGCTTGACCAAATCCTGCTGCTCTTCATTATCTTGTGGGGTATAAAGGTACCAGAGCTCCATCCTTTGGTGGCTGGACCACTGCTGTTATATGGACACACATGGATGTTATATGGATTTGGGTGTATCTACACTTAACTGATATTGGTTGAGTAGACATAACCAAATGTTGGATGTATCAGTGTACTTGGGTGCCAAAAGCTGCAAGTTACATCTGTGTTTTTTGAAGGGTATTTGTTGCACTCAAAGCCTAGTGCCGGTGCTGAGTGGAGGCCAGCGATTTTATTATCTTAAATGTGTAATCCTCAGAGACCATTTCCAAAATCCTACCTGGATCCTTCAGAGTCTACATATTTTTGTAAATCTGTTTCCAAATTGCTTTTGGACATCTAGGCTCCAAAGCCACCATGATGTTTTCAAAACCTCCACTGCTTGTGAGTCAAAAGATACGGAGGAGAAGATCATTCAGCTCTCAATACCTAGAGGAGAGAGCTGGGAGCTAGGAACGTTCAAACACCAGGACCTCCATCGAGAGGGAAATAAGTGGGGAAGAGCACAACATAAGTAATGTTGGGCAGTCCTCCCCTTGCAGTCACTTTTGTTAAGCAATCTTGCGTCGCTTTGGATAGAGGAGGAGAGAGCAGTTCATTAACCAGTGTTTCACTTTGAGGCTAATACTAATTAAAAGCCTTGCCTTCACTTTAGGGGAACCTATTCTTAGAAATTATGTAAATTAATTGGAGTTTTGAAGAGGAGCATATGCCGAATTCTGAGTAATTCCCTGCTGACTGAGACAACTGCGGCCCTGGGGCCGCAGAAGTGTCAGGATCTTTTTTCTCCTCGTGTCTACAGAAATCGAACTCTGTTTCTGTTGAGTTTGGTGATTCCCTTTAAATACCCAAGGGAGATCAAATACCCAGACCTTAATCATTTTTCTGGGAGATATGATACAAAGACTTTTCCTCCCTGAACACTTCCCCATCTCAAAAATAATAATTGAGGCTGAATTTTATTTCTACAGCCCTTTCCCAAACAAACATACGTTCCTGCTTCAAGAAGAATTTTGACCCCCAAAAGGGAGAGGTACCCAAAATACCATGAGTTCCCCTTGGGAGTTTACTCTTGCTGTTCATCTAACAGGAATGATCTCTGCGTGTTGTGGTGAGTGAGGAGGAAGAATCAGGAAGATCTGACCCTAGGATATATAGTGTGTGAAGGAAATAAGCTTTTGAAGTAAAATTGCTTTAAAATTTATTTTCTTTTTTTTTTCCTATGGATTATTTATTCCCTTTGAAAAAGCCCAAAGCAAATAGAAGCAGTGGAACCAAAGAAACCGATTCAAGTGAAAATGAGAAGCAATCTTGCTTAAGTACTTCCGCTTCAATCAACAAATTAAAACTTTAAAACTTTAAAAAAACAAGTAGTTTCATTTTTAAGATAAACATTATCAAGTACTTTGGTGGATCTAGGTTTTTTATTTATTGAAACAGGATACGAGCATGAATCAAATGCAGATCTTTTGATGTGAAAATGTCGCTTGCTTACAGATGTACATTTGGCTAAGTAGCCTTTTCTTTATAGCCTCATCCCAAGGAATAAGATGCCCCCAAACGGGGATGCTGCTGCAGTGAAGGAAGCAGCCTGCCCATCCGGATACTTTCCGTGTTTTTCGGTTTGAAATTCAGTGTTGATGTGAGGTCTGAAGTTTGCAGCCATCATGTTTTCCTAGACAAAGCCTTTTCAGGAGAAAAGATGGCAATTTTGATAACCAGCCTCTCTGATGCATCCCAAGTACTATCCAACCCTTATTTACAAGGAGCTAGATTTTTTCCTTTATTCCACAAAACATGCTCAGTTTAAAGCTGATAGAAATACCAAAAATTGCAAAAATGTTTATCTCTAACAGTGCTAGAAATGCAAGTTCCCAAAATAGAAGTTGTCAAGTCTACAGGTAAGACTTGGGGGAAGAAATTATAATAATGTACAACTGCAGATTAATATAAAATCATTTTAGAAGGAAAATACAGCATGTAGCAGTGAATGTAGATGGGGATGACATTGCTAACTGCTTATCAGATATTAAGTTTTTTGCATGTATTTCGGATTTCATTGTGCATCTGTGTTAACACCTCCATTTATATTAGTATTGGGTAATATACAGATGGTTTTCTAAGGCCATTTCATTCAAATTAACACAAAATACTATTGTTACATGCTTTGAAGTCAAGATACCAACTTACCTACCTTTTAAGCTGGTGTCTCGATGGGCTGTAATCTAATACGTGATGCAAAATACACTTGTGGCAAATTAGGTGGTTGAACCTAGGTTCCACCTTTGGCCTTCCGACTGGAGAGAAGGTTTCTCCATCTTTAGTACCTGGAGACCAGCACTGGTGCTTATCTTGATGTCCTACAGGAAGCAGCCATCCTCCCATGTGTATGTCCATCCTGGGCTGCTTTGCCCAGGGTGTTGGTTGTAGCACTGACACCTCTGGACTGGCCTCCTTGGGCTGTAGAGGCTGGCAGAGGTCCCTCTTGGTGAAGAGATTTTGCCCAGGGGTGGTTTTCAGACAGCTGTTTCTCTAGGTGAGCCGGAGGAGGGCTTGCTTTGGTGAGCATGACCCCCTTGATCTCTGAGTTTAGATGCAGCAGGTGAGGTCAGTGCATCATGGTGCTTGAGATCTAATGGGTTTGGTCCTGCAGATCTATACCCCAGAAACAAAGTTGTCCAGGCTTCCTCTCTTGCGACTGAACTAACTTGAAAAGATAATATTTAAATTCATGGGAAGAACCAGAGCACACAGCTGTAGCGGGGCAGAAAACCGGTAATGGGCTAGGGGACAAAATCCAAGCAAATTGCTGACAGATGAAATTCTGGAATGTTTCCTTCTTGTTGACCTCTCTGTTGTGGACGGTGCTGACACCTTTGTGTTCCTCTTCTCCATCTCTTCTTTCAGGACCATGCTGATTTGAGAAGCCACTTCTTCACCGTGGGAATGAAGCTGGAGGCGGTGAATATGAGAGAGCCATTTAATATCTGTCCTGCATCAGTGACCAAGGTGAGCTCCCAGAGAGGAGGGATGAAAAGGTTGATCAGGAATATCTTGCCGATCACTTTTAGAAAAGCTCCAGTAGAACTTCACTGGCTAGAGAACACATTGAGAAACAGGATTTAAAATAAATAAATAAATAAAGTCCATGGATGTTTCCTCCATAGTGGATTATTTCTGTCCTACAAGCTTCACCAGGTGACTGTGTGTGCACTTAGATCGATGTTACTGCAGATTTAACTTTTTCCTTTCTTTTTCTCCTCCTAGGTTTTTAACAATCATTATTTTCAAGTGACCATTGATGACTTGCGATCTGAACCTAGCAAAATCTCCATGCTTTGCCATGCGGATTCCTTAGGGATCTTGCCAATACAGTGGTGCCTTAAAAATGGAGTCAATCTCACACCTCCCAAGGGTTCGTATGCACCGTTTTGATTTCTCGGTGATTTTGTGGGCTTTCTCCAAGGAAGATTGCCTGTTTGTGCTGCTTTTATACCTGTTTTTGCTGTTAGCTTGAGAACATCACATTAAATATTGCAAGTTGCTGGGACTCTATCGGGTCAGAGGAGCAGCTCAGTTGACAGCAGCCAGGGAACGTCTCTGCAGATGCATCTCATGGTGGGGTCGATGTGTCTGTATTTTGCAGGCAGAAGAAGGCTCTACCAATGCCTAGTGAGTTCCTGCAAAGTGCATCTTGGAGATATTTTGTTGAGAGAGCAGAAAGAACATTAAGGGATATTTTTAGCTGGTATTAATATCTGCTGTGCCAAGACAGAGGGTGATATGTTGATTAAGTGGAGATTGGGCTCAGGTCACTGCTGTTTGGGCTGGTGTCGGAGGACCATTCCACTCCCTTGTCCCTCTGTCTGTAGAGCCCTTCCCGGCACCCAGGGGATGGAGCGATATGTTTCAGAGCAAGAAGGTCATGATGATGCATAAAGTGGTTGGTGAGCACGTCTAACAGATGGAAACACGTGGAGTTCATCGTTAGGATGGTCAGTGAGATCAGGCAGAGCTTTGCTACCTAGCTCTTCGCCCACATTGGCGTAGCACCGAGTGCGGGTGACGTGCTCCAAATCTAAGAGGCTTCTGGTTGGAAATCAGCTTGTGCCCCAGCAGCTAAAATCACGTCTGTGTACCTAAAGCATGTGGATGTTTCCTTAGCCATCTCGGAAGATCCCAGGCAAGGGCAAATCGTGAGCAGTGCTCAGATAAGAGTCAGCAGAAACAGCCTCCGACTGTAGTGTTTCCCAACTTTGTTGCAGCACAGTTGATTACTTGCCATTTCAGACAAGCATCTTAAGTATCCTAGTGGTTTTTCTTTGCTCGCAAAAAGCATCTGCTTTGTGGAATTACAGATTATTGATGTTGGACAGGATGTTGAATCTTTGCCCTGCAAAATGGTGTTGCTTGGGAGCAAAAAGAAATACCTCAATTAAAAGTGAAATTTTATGTATGCGTTCTGGAAGAAAAACAAACGCCCCTGCCAGTCCCAAAGAAATGAAGCGCTCTTCTGTTGTCACCCTAACACTTTCGCTGAAAATAATTCAGCTCCTGCTGGGCTTAACTCTGCCAGGTTCAAAGTTCTCTTGCGTGCTTGCAGTGTGTATTTTCAGCACATGCAATTTTAAATTCCTGCCAAAGTCTGGTGAAATGGGTGCACTCCCCGGATGCTTTCTCTGTGTCCTGTTTTTTTGTGCATTATTGATGATGCTTGTGCAAGCGCTTGCCACCAGGGGCCACAAAGTTGAGTGTGAGTTGCTGCTTGGGGACTGGGGTTGCACAGGTCTGCTGAGACAGCATGCAAAGTCTGCCTTTGCTCCCTTCATCAAAATAAAGTTCATCTTCTGCTGTCAGATTAGAAATCCTGGCGTGAAGCTATTAAAAGATACAGCAAGTACATGGCAGATAAACGTGCGCTATGTATTGCCATATTTCTTTCTGTGGTTCCCAAGCTGCATCCTTCCCTTTTTGCAGCTGGATTCCCAAGCTGCATCCTCACACTTGGGGTGTCAAAAGCCTTCACCGGCAGAGATGCCTTTTGAGTTGCTGTGATCAGACCTCCGAGTGATTTCTGAATGATTTGTTGGAGCAAGGCTAGGTGGAGTGCACCGAAGCCAGCAAAGAGCTTTGAGGGATCTAGCCTGCTCTGAGCAGGAGAGTATGAGCTTTGCAAAAAGAAATAACCAGCACTGATGTGAGAGGGCTAAACCACTGCAGAAGCGGGGATGGATGTGTTGTGAGCTGCCTACTGATGAGCTGGGCTGGGGAGGAGGAAGAGACGGAGTATCCCATCTATTCCACCAAAGCCATCCAGCGGCTCTGCCTGCCCTGGGATCTTCAGAATTGCTCATTCCAACACATGGCTTTTACCAGACTGCTGCTGCTTCCGCAGTGCTCGGACACTTCTGACCAGTGTCATCCTCCACAGAGAACGTGTCAGAAGTATTTGGTGTTTCCCATGTGGCTGCCCTTGTGAAAGGCCAGAAATTCCTATGGAGCAGAAGATGACAGTGCAACCCTACAGATGCTCTTTTTTATTATTTTTTTTTAACTTTGTTGGGGGGAAAAAAAGTTTCTTTGTTTTTTGACTTTTTGTTGTTGCTAGCTGTGATTGACAAAGAGGATCTGTGCTTGTAAAATTAGCTGACTTGATTTCACAAGAACTGTGCAGCAGGTTGGCTTATTTGGGTTTCCAGCACGTTTTGTCTTCTTGCTTTTGCATTTCAGGCATTTGCTGAAGTCCTCCTGTAGATGAGTCATGAACAGGAGGTGCAAACAGTTGCTGCTAGAAAGAGGGAGCAGTGCTTTGCTGTATGGTGCCAAAAATGAATACCCATTTACTGCTGCTGTATAAACATTGAGCAAGTGCTGTTTATATTTATTAGAGCTGGATTTATAGACCACTTCCCTTTAGAGTAGCAACTATTGTTCCTTTTTATGAGCTATTAAGAGGGGCGAGAGAAAGATTTCAGTAGTGCTACTGGTTGCAAGGTTTGCTAAGGATTTGCTGCTTCCAGATCCACCAGTATGTTTGCACTGGGGTTTTGCTTCTGACCAGCTTTCTGGGTCATGCTGAGAACTATGTCAGCAAATGCAAGGAGATCTTGCATGCTTGGGGAGTGGTGCAAGAGTGGTGCAAGTAAAGCTTTGCCCATTTTTGCTTGCACTGAGTCATTAAGTGCAACAGGGTTGAATGATGGAGCTGTGCAGTTCACTTGAGTCCTTAGGTTCATGGAAAAGGCAACAGAAAGGTCCAAGGTCTCCTAGGGGATTTGGATGGTTCAGAGCCAAGTCAACAGGTGGTTCTATGGTGTTTTTATAATACTAAGCTGAAACTGCCCACAAGTCTTTTTTTTCCCATTGCTCTGCCAAGACTCTGCCTAGCTTGCAATTAAGATTCACTAGAGGGATTTTTGGGGGCTAGTTCACCCCTTCTACATGAGGACAAACAAACGGCGCCTGGATGTGCTCTCTTCTCCGCTGATGGTTGGGAGAGCCCAGGGTGACACTTAGCAATAGGCACCTCCGCTACAAACATCTGTGTTTGGTCAGAGGAATCCCCCTTTGATTCAAAGTGGTCTATCTGGACTTCTCCTTCAGTTTTTCATTTCATTTTATTAAGCTGAAAATTGCCTGGCAAACAAATAACTAGATGAGGGAAAAAAAAAAAAAAAACAGAGGGTGTGTGTGTGTTGGGGGGGATATAGAAAAGACAGGAAGAAAATAACACAATCTGGTGTTAATGTATGTGAAGGAATGCATGTACAAGGATTTTTATGGTATGAGAAGTGAAGATTCTTTATAAGTAATTGTCTCTCTTTTTCCCCGCTTCTTATTTTCCTCTTGATTTGCTGTTTTCTTACCATTACCAAGTTTTACTATTTCAGGAACCTCTGTGCTCCACATTTTGTCTTCTATTTGTTTTTCATGCAAACAGTCATTAAAATTGGAAGTTTATCTTATCTCACATACTTCCATTTTGACAGAATGCTTGGGGGTTTATTCTCAATATCTTTACCTCCTTTTTAAATCCGGGTGACTGATAGGGAAACTGCCCTGAATATTTCTCTTTTTTTTTTGCCTGCAGAAAAAAAAAAGAATTTTCACTGTCATAAAATATTCATTTCTATATGAACTTAAGTTGGCCCTCTTTGCCTATCAATAAAAATGATGTTAAGGGATGTTCAATGAGATTGAGTCCAAGTTCAGATGCCAAATGGGGAGGCTGAGCTGAGAACTTGACCTTTAAATGACTCGTGAAACTTTCCAGTGCACATGGTCCTGCAATAATATTATTGCAGCATCATCTCAGGCCCCTGGCTGGGATTAGCACTCTTTTGTTTTGGGCATTGTAAAAACACAGGCTAAGAGTCAGTCAGAAAAATAAAAATCTCTGTCTCAGGAGTTTATTGCCTAAATAGTCAAGTGAGAGCTATAGAGGAGCAGAGCTCTGATTTGTCTCTCTGTGTTAGTCTGTCTAAATCAGTGTTAATTCCACCTTTCCCTAGAACCTAGGGGCTGGAAGGATTATCTGGTTGATGAGAATTTTAGCCTAGAATCTGGGAAATCTGGGTGGTTCTTCCTGCTCTGCTCCTCTTCCAGCCCTGGATAAGATGTTTACTGTGATGGACTTATCTTACATGAGTTGATCTACTGGAAACTTAGTAGGGTCCATCCATCATTACTGAGGAGAATTTATCTCATCCTAAGAGAAAGGTAGGATAAATCAGCTTCTAAGTGTGCTGGTCCTCTACCTGTCAACTGAGGGGGACTCTTGACATCTAGTTTCAATAGCTGCAACTTTTAGTAGCTAAAACAAGGAAGCAGGAGTCCGTGGCTGATCTCTCCTGAAAAATGGAGACAGTAGCACATATTCAGTCATTATTATGGCATTATTAAAGCCTATGATATGCTAGAAGGAAAGGGAAAATAAGGGAAATAAAGATCCCTCATCAGCTTTTAATGAGGACCTGGAGTTTGCCTTGACATATTTAGTAAGAATTTCCTCTCCTATTTGGCTGCTGCGTGCGTGCGTTGACCTTGGCCAAAGGCATTGCCTGTGGGAGAGGCCATCTTTCTTCTATGTGTAGGAGGACAGCATCCATCACAAGAGCTTGGGACAGGAATGTGGCGTGTAACTAGTAGAATAGCTGGTCTCTGTCCTTTTCCTGTGCTTTTTGCTTTCCCCCTGCTGCTCCAGGGGATGGAGAGGTGTTGACAGTGGCATTAATGGTATTTGAACAGGAGTCCAGGGGCCAGAGTGGTTTGGGGAGTTGATGCCCATGAGTAACGTCCATGTGTCCCCTCTGCAGGGCGGGTGAGGCAAGAGGAACCAAACACAAGCTCAGGGCTGTATGGGATGGACCGGACCACATCCTTCCCTCAGCATCCCCATGGGGGTTGGAGGGCTTTCCTTTCTGGAAACTCAGCATAATACCAATTAGCTGCTTCCCAGGACCTTTAGGCTGGTGCTTCCATCTTCAGTGGGACGCGATGGGATGCTGAAACTCAAGTGGTCGTTGGCTCAGCACCCCTTTCCAAGTCCTGCATGCAGCAGTCTCTCACGGCGCTCCCTGTTTTCTCTTCCCACAGGTTATTCCGGCCAGGACTTTGACTGGGCAGATTACCAGAAGCAGTGTGGAGCGGAGGCAGCGCCGCAGCTCTGCTTTCGAAATGTAAGTCCTGGCTTTCCCTTGGCACGGTACTTGGCGAGGGGTGCGAGCGGGCCTTCCATCTCAGAAAGAAAGCTGGAGGAGAGTTGCAGATCTCCATTCCTGAAAGATGCAAAATATTATCTTAGTGTAAATGGATCAAGGAAAGAAGGAAGGAAGGAAAGAAGGAAGAAAGGAAAGAAGGAAGGAAGGAAAGAAGGAAAGAAGGAAAGAACTATCTGCTGTTTGAACCTCTCTCTGGTTTTTTACAGCACTCAGCACAAGCAGGATCTGAGCTTACCCATCTCAAAGTGATTCAAATACTATAAAAATATATAGACTAGATGAAAAAACTCATATGTTATCAAGCTCTTTTCGCTTTTGGGATGTTTTTTCTTACTTGCACAGGGATGCATTCAACGAAACCAAATACACTTAAAAATGTGTTTGAAATTGCTGAGCTCAGAGTGTGAGGATGCAGCCACATGGCAACTTTGCAATTTGGGGCTGTTCTTGTAGTTCCTTTCTACAGTGGCAGTGATGTGTGAATGAGCAGCACATCATTACACTGTAAGCCACTAAGATTTGATCTTCAGAAAGATTTTTTTTTTTTTTTTTTTGTGGGCTGCTTTCTAGCATCGGCAGTCCAGCATGGCTGCATCCTACAGGAATTCACTGTTTGGGAAGTGAAGCAGTAACCTGCCTTTTCCCCAAACCTGGTGCTTTAGTTGCCATCAACTGGTGGAAGTCAAGATCCTATCAATAACTCAGTGATGCTGAAAACCAGCACAGTCTTTGGAAAGGTATTGCAGAATAGAGCAGTGCTGTATAAGGTGGACCGCTGGTTCCTCTGGGAGGTGCTTAGCCTTTTGTTAGACTACTGTGCTGAATTTTGGTGCTATTTTGGATTGGGAAGGAGAAAGCTTATCCTCACCTTAGCATTTGTTGATGAAGGTCAATGTTGAACCCCGGTTTCCTCGACCACGAAATCAGAGTTGGACTTTCTTTGCCCCATTTCTTTGCCCATGTGATGCAAAACCCTCAAAGGGCCTAAAGTGAAGAAAGAGGCTCTGAGAGAGGCTGGGCAACACAGAGTCATTCCAATACATGGTGACAAGTCACTGTGTTTCTTCCCTTCTTGCACCGCTCCCTTGTTTATTATCTCTTTTTCACTTCAGTCAAGTAATGGATCTGTGCTCTCAACACCAGCAGCCTTGAGAGCAGCCTGTGTGTAATATTCTGTAAAGATTAAATCAGCTCTAAGATTTTTCTTTGTATTTATTTTTTAAGGGAACATTCATCAGATGAACACGTGTCTGTTAGGCGCTTTCACTCCTGATAATGCACTTCTCTGCACAGAGATGCAATCTTGCCCTTGTCACTCGTGCAACCTCCTCGGCTGGTCGGTCCATTTGTTTCCTGGCTGCGAGGGGCTCTTTCATAGAAGGCTGATTGCAAGCAGATCTTCCATGCAGGACAGCCAGGCATGGTGTTAGAAGTGGATATGCTTTGCCATTTCCCCAGGGGAATATTTAAGGGGGAGAGGCAGTTATGAAAGGGATTGACGTGACCCAGTGCTTAGCAAAATAAACTCCCAGCTAACTGTTCTGCCATTGATTCTGTATAAATTAGCCTCCAGCACAGAACTGCAGTGAAAGGAGCTGGTGTGATGATAAATGACATTTCCTCATTAGCCAACATAAAAAGAATTTAAACAAACTCACCTTGCTTTTCCATAATCCTGCTTGTGAGCAGCTTTTGCAAGGTGAAGCTGATCCAAATGCTGGGCAGGGTTTGTAACAGTCCAAGCAATGTTTGAGACTAAAACCACATTTTTGGAAAGCCTGTTAATGAAATAAAGGTCGGATCCAGAAGTCAACGTGCAGTGTCTGTGGCACTAGGTGCTGTACAAATAGCAGGAGGGTCCTGTTTAGATTCAGCATCCAGTTGCCCACATGGAATTTCTGGATGACAGACTGGTGTCATTTGGAGTCAGTGACAATTTTTGCCTATCT